CAAGTCAGACAAAGGTCTAATCTCTAAAATCTACAAGAAAATCCAACACCTCTACAACAAAAAGACAAATAACCAAATTAAAAAAATGGGCAAAGAAAATGAACAGACACTTCACCAAAGAAGACATTCAAGTGGCCAACAGACACATGAGGAAATGCTCCCGATCACTAGCCATTAGAGAAATGCAAATCAAAACCACAGTGAGATACCATCTCACCCCAGCATTACTGGCACAAATAAAAAAAATTGGAAATAACAAATGTTGGAGAGGCTGCAGGGAGATCAGAACTCTTATGCACTGCTGGTGGAAATGTATAATGATACAACCATTTTGGAAAATGATATGGCACTTCCTTAGAAAGCTAGAAATACAAATACCATATGATCCAGCAATCCCACTCCTAGGAATATATCCTAGAGAAATAAGAGCCGTCACATGAATAGACATACGCACACCCATGTTCACTGCAGCATTGTTCACAATAGCAAAATGATGAAAACAACCTAGATGCCCATCAACAGATGAATGGATAAACAAACTATGGTACATACACAACAATAAAGAACCATAAAGAACAATGATGAATCTGCGAAGCATCTCATAACATGGATGAAAATGGAGGACATTATGCTGAGTGAAAGAAGTCAATCACAAAAGAACAAATATTGTATGAGACTACTACTGTAAAAACTCATGAAACGGTTTACACACAAAAAGAAACAATCTTTGATGGTTATGAGGGATGGGAGGGGTGGGGGGGAATACTAAATAGATAGTAGATAAGTGATAACTTTGGTGAAGGGCAAGACAGTACACAATACTGGGGAAGCCAGCACAAGTTGTACAAGGAAAGGTCATGGAAACTCCATAGACACATCTAAACTCCCTGAGGGAATGAATTGCTGGGAGGAGGGCTGTGGGGATCACGGTCTCGGGGAACATCTAGCTCAATTAATACGACATAGTTTACATAGAAAATGTTCTGATTCTACCTTGGTGAGTAGCGTCCGGGGTCTTAAAAGCCTGTGAGCAGCCATCTAAGATATTCCACTGGTCTCATCCCTTCGGGAGCAAGGGAGAATGAAGAAAACAAGATACAAGGGAAAGATTAGTCCAAAGGACTAATGGACCACAACTACCATGGCCTCCACCAGACTGAGTCCAGTACAACTAACTGGGTGGTGCCCGGGGAATACCACTGACTTCTCTGACACGGATCATAACAGAGGTCCTGGACAGAGCTGGAGAAAAATGTAGAACAAAATTCTAACTCATAAAAAAAGACCAGACTTACTAGCCTGACAGAGACTGGAGAAACCCCGAGAGTACGGCCCCCAGACACTCTTTTAACTCAGTAATGAAGTCATTTCTGAGGTTCACCCTTCAGCCAAAGATTAGACAGCTGAGGGACAAGGACTAGAAGGCAGGAGGGGACAGGAAAGCTGGTAATAGGGAACCCAAGGTTGAGAAGGGAGAGTGTTGACGTGTCGTAGGGTTGTTAACCAATGTCATAAAACAATATGTGTACTAATTGTTTAATGAGAAACTACTTGTTCTGTAAACCTTCATCCGAAGTACAATAAAAAAATTTAAAAAAAATTTATTGTGGCAAAATATATATATAAAACAAAACACTTGCCATTTCTACCATTTTTATTTGCACAATTCAGCAACATTAATTGCATTCACTATGCAGTACAACATCACCATTATGTGTTTCCATTTCTTTTTTATCACCCCTATCAGAAACTCAATGCCCCTTTAGCAATAATACCCCATTTCCTTCTCTCACCCTGGTAACTACCTGTACTGGTTTTCTCTGTTGTTCTTCTATTCTCTATTTCATTTATCATTGCTCTGATCTTTGTTATTTTCTTCTTTCTGTAGCTTTTGGCTTAGTTTTCTCTTCTTTTTCTAGTTCTTCAAGTTGTAAAGTTAGGTTATTGATTTGAGATCTTCCTTCCTTTTTAATGTAGGCATTTACAGCTATAAATTTCCCTCTAAGCACTGCCTTCGCTGTGTCTCATGTTTGGGTATGATGTGCTTTCATTTTCATTGGTGTCTAAATATTTTCTGGTTTCCCTTTTCATTCCTTCTTTGATCCATTGGTTGTTTAAGATTTAATACACTTTTCTGATTTTACAATCTCCTTTCTGCAATTATTCCTTTCATTTTCCTTTGTCATAACAAAATCTCCTATATGCCTTGGAATTCACTAACAAAATATAATAAAAATAGAACACATCAAAAATTAAAATCTAGTCAATCATCAAAATTAAGTCACTCTCTCTCAGTGCTTTAGAGGGGTCCTTAGAATGATAATGTCTTACCATTATCATTTGGAGTGATAAAGTTACCCCTTTATGCATTCTAGGTTTCTAAGATTGTCTCCAATATGTTTTTCCTTTAGAGTATAGCCTTTAGAGTATAGACTCCTTAGCCTCTATTTCTCGGACAATATGTTGAAGAGATACTGACTAATTTTAATCTTAATCTTTGAAAAATATAATCAAGAATAAAATTTTGCATTAATTGCTGAAAAATAACTTTGCGTTATTCCGCTGCTATCATGAAAAATTGAGAGTTGGCTATATATTTACAACAAACATATATATATATGTATACATATAAACAAAACTCTATACATTAGTTAAGAAAACTAAAATTCTAGGACATCCTTTGAATGGCAACAAAATCATGAAGGCAATATCAAGTTTACCAAAGAACTTCTTAAATAGTTTCATCAACACCACTGGATTAATAAGTTTGCTTGCACCAAAGTGATGCTCATTAAAAATCAATTCTACTATCTCAGAGAAGAAACTAGTCTACTGGGCTAATAGCCTACACAAGCCACTGCCTCATCTACTCTGAGACTAGAAGAAAGAACTAGATGGTGCCTGGCTACCACTATTGACTATTCTGATCAGGGCCACAATAGATGGACTATGTCAGAACAGGAGAATTTACTAGAACTCAAATTCTTAAAAACTTCAGACTTACTGGACCTGTTAAGACTAGAGGACTTCCTGAGACTATTGCCCTGAGATACTCTTCAAACCTTGAACCAAAATTATCCCCTGAAGTCATCTTTTAGCGAAGTAACAGATTGGTACACAAAATAAAGGATATTAGCCTTAGAGCATGGTGTACCAGTAAAAAACCATCTATATGAGACCAAAAGGTCAACAATCACTCTAAGGCAAAGACGAGAAAATAAGGGAGACAGGGAAATTAGAGTGCTGGAAATGGAACAATCAGAACGCAATTAAAGAGAATATTGACTTGATGTGAAAAATGTCACTGAAAAATTAGTGTAGAAATTGTCAAATGGGAACCTAATTTGCTGCGTAAAATTTCAGCAAACACATGATACAGTATTATTTAAAAAAATCAATTCTACTATGTTAGCATGCACAAATAATGAAAACCACAGAATAATTTGTGTTAAAACCTGAAAAGGGTCAACTATAAGGAAACAAAGCAAAGGGAATAGTTTAAACATGCAGCACCAACTGAGCTGAGGTTATAATTTCATTCTTTGCAGTCAACTCAAAGCAAGAGGCTTCCTAGAAGAGTTCTTCACTGCCTATTTGGAACAGTTATCATTATCAGTGCTGGTTTGTTGTTGTTAGGTGCGGTGGAGTCAGTTCTGACTCACAGGACCCTATGTACAACAGAACGAAACACTGCCCAGTCCTGCACCATCCTCACAATTGCTGTTATGCTTGAGCCCATTGTTGCAGCCACTGCGTCAATCCATCTCCTTGAAGGTCTTCCTCTTTCTTGCTGACCCTCTACTTTACCAAGCATGATGTCTTTCTCCAGGGACGGGTCCCTCCTGCTAACATGTCCAAAGTATGTGAGACGTAGTCTTCTCATCCTTGCTTCAAAGGAGCATTCTCTCTGTACTTCTTCTAAGACAAATTTGTTCGTTCTTTTGGTAGTTCATGGTATATTCAATATTCTTTGCCAACACTGCAATTCAAAGGCATCAGTTCTTCTTTGGTCTTCCTTATTCATCGTCCAGCTTTCACATGCATATGAGGCGATTGGAAACACCATAGCTTGGGTCAGGCACACCTTAGTCTTCAAGGTGACAACTTTGCTTTTCAACACTTTGAAGAGGTCTTCTGCAGCAGATTTGCCCAAAGCAATGCATCTTTTGATTTCTTGACTGTTGCTTCTATGGGTGTTGATTGTGGATTCAAGTAAAATGAAATCCTTCATAACTTCAGTCTTTTCTCCATTTATCATGATGTTGCTTATTGGTCCAGTTGTGAGGATTTTTGTTTTCTTCATGTTGAGGTGTAATCCATACTGAAGACTGTGGTCTTTGATCTTCATCAGTAAGAGTTTCAAATCCGTTTCACTTTCAGCAAGCAAGGTTGTGTCATCTGCATAACGCAGGTTGTTAATGAGTCTTCCTCCAATCCTGATGCCCCAATCTTCTTCATATAGTCCAGTTTCTCGGGTTATTTGCTCAGCATACAGACTGAATAGGTATGGTGAAAGGATACAACCCTGACGCGCACTTTTCCTGACTTTAAACCACGCAGTATCCCCTTGTTCTGTTCAAATGACACCGTCTTGATCTGTGTACAGGTTTCTCATCAGCACAATTAAATTGTTCTGGAATTCCCATTGTTAGAAATGTTATCCATAATTTGTTATGTTCCACACAGTCGAACACCTCTGCATAGGCAATAAAACACAGGTAAACATCTTTCTGATATTCTCTGCTTTCAGCCAGGATCCATATGGCATCAGCAATGATATCCTTTGTTCCACATCCTCTTCTGAATCTGGCTTGAATTTCTAGCAGCTCTCTGTTGACAGAATGCTGCAGTTGCTTTTGAATGATCTTCGGCAAAATTTTACTTGTGTGTGATATTAATGATATTGTTCGATAACTTCCACATTCAGTTGGATCACCTTTCTTGGGAATAGGCATAAATATGGATCTTTTCCAGTTGGTTGGCCAGGTAGCTGTCTTCCAAATTTCTTGGCATAGACGAGTGAGCCCTTCCAGTGCTGTATCCGTTTGCTGAACCATCTCAATTGGTATTCCGTCAGTTCCTGGAGCCCCGTATTTTGCCAATGCCTTCAGTGCAGCTTGGACTTCTTCCTTCAGTATCATCGGTTCCTGATCATATGCTACCTCCTGAAATGGTTGTACGTCGACCAATTCTTTTTGGTATAGTGCCTCAGTGCTGGTTAGTTAGGCAGAAAGCTCTAATGGGAAAATCATAGTGGCATGGCATTTAAAAGTTCACCCAAATTGTCTCTTTACCCTCCTTGCTCCTTTCTCCAGTGCAGTTTCTTGCCATCAGTTACTTAGCCGTTTTGAGAAACAGGATACAGCCTCAATTCACTTAATTAATATGATGATTAAAGCTCTGGGAAATGGTGCCCTGTAAGATTCTGCTCTTCCAGCAAGATGGCCAACATCTAGCTAGATTAGAAGCAGAAATGTACCATGAAAAGTAGGATTGGCCCTTAGCTTGCTGTATACCTTGGCACCCAGACGGATTCCTAAGGCAAAAGAAAAATCTACAGGTAGACGTACAGATATTATTTCAAATAGCAAACAAGAATCAATGATGAATAAAAATTACAGAAAAATCTTTTACATGTTGATCATTACTGATGTAACTAAACATATACTAGTAGAATATGGAACTGTATGATGGTTTTTAAAAATCCTACATTCATGTAAACTTTAAAATTATTTCATATTTTGAAATTCTTTTAGGACATAAATGTAATCACATTTTAAAACATCTATGTAAACAAGCAAACACATCTTACATTCACCTTAAATTAGTTTAAAATCATCTTACCTGTGTAAAAAGTATAAACTGAGCAAATTGCCAGGGAAGCATAAAGGCAACATTGGAAAGACAAAGTGCAATGTAATATTTTCTACAAATGTTCGAGGTCCTTGATTGAGAGAAATGATACCAATAAGTTTTAATATAAAAATAGCCTATCACTGAACAGAAAGACTAATTGCAAAATGATAAAATTTAAATGACTGCATTAACTTTCATATAATATAACAAAGTATAGTTAGCTTTTAAAAGCTCATTAAAAAGAACTTTAAAATATTTGGATTATAAAAATGTCTAGAACAAAACAACAAAAATTCTACTTTAAATACAATAAAGTATCTAGTTTATCAGTTAATCAAATATCTTAAATATAAAAGTTTACTTTCTTCTAAATATGCATAACATTAGAATTTAGTACTTCAGGAAGAAGGTAAGAAAATAAATTTCCATTAGCATTTAAAGCAAGCAGTTTACAGGGCTGCAAGAACTAAAGGTTTGCATATGCTAACTGGTTATAAATGCGGGCACTGCAGAATCCGAAAGGTACTAGTAATTGAAGTACAAGGTTCCCTGAGAGTTTGGAAGGAGATGGTGATCAATATTCCATTCAGTAAGAAATTTTTCTAACACTCTGTGAGATTTATTTCACGGTAAAGTTATTTAGAGTACTCTGGAAAAATAAAAATAAAAAAAATTAGCATAGTGCACTTAGGAAAATACCTCATTGGGGGAGGGAGTGTTTGGCAAACAAACGTATAAGATGTGCATTATTTGTGTAAAAATGCGGTATTTATTTGTCTATTCATTCATTGATTCACTCACTCACTCACTCATTTATTCATTGTTTCTCAGAACTCTTAAATTCCTGCAACGCTTATTAACTGAATCTCAACCAAAAATGTGTCCGACAAAAAACACTGAGAAGAAATTCTGGTTGAACTGCTAGCAACATCAGTAGTTTAGCAATGCTGTATAAGTACAAACTCCCTATCTATTCACTTCAGTATAGCACATATGTTCTTCATGGCAGATACATTAAAGCTCCTTCAAAATCACTGGAGATAATGAGTCACAGTACATAGGCTTTGAGGGAAAAAAAAAGTTTCTCAAAACATTTGAATCTTTATAAAATATGTATGAACATAAATTCTGATTTATTAAAACATAATATAGTTATCTAAAACCTATATCCTTGACAATTGTCTGGAAAGCAATTTTTACACAGTAAACTTTACTCAGTTTATTTTTACAATAATTCAAAGCATAAATGACCTAAATTTGGTAATCATAACTTAATAAGCTAAAGCATAGTTTAAGAAACTAAGCTTAAAATTTATTTAACATTGTTTTATAAATCAAAATTACCTGAGAATATAAGTTAAAAAGTACATCTGAAGTACAAGAAACGGATATGAAAAACTTTCCCGGAGAGGTGGTGTCCACATTACGCGTGTAGCCTGAAATCGGTAAAATGCTTACTTCATTGCATGCTCCATCATAATAAACATTATTAATTTAAAAGTCATGGGTGGGCTGGTTTTAGTAGTTGTACTACCAGGCTCATTAGACCCTATTTCTGAATGCCCTGGCACTGCCTCTCAGCTTGAGGGCTCTCTTACAGACAGACACACAACTATTAAATTGAGAGCCATGAACTAGCTATTAACTAGTAAATACAGAAACAAATCAAAGATATTCCAGACAAAGCATAGGGATGCCCAAGGGACAAACAAAACAGGAGCTATAGTGGCTGTGAGGATTCTAGGATGGAAAAATCTGATCTACAATTCTTGATTGTAGCCCTGCAGGCCTAATACTGTCATCCTAGGGCTTTGGGACATATACACGCCCATATTTAGTAAATAGCTAAACAAATGTCACCTAGGACATTTGCAAACAAGAAAGTTTACACTTAACAAGTTCAAATGAGTAGAGATGCAAATTATAAGTGGTTACGATTGTCTCTGAATTTGTGAAATATACATTTAAAGAAGTTAACTGTAAATTAAAAAAACAACTATCAGCATTTGATAATCACTGAAATGAAGCATGTAATAAATACAAGTATTAATTAAATTTCCATACAAACTTTAAAGCTAATTTGTTTCCAAGAGATATGAGCATCATAAAAGTTTTATATCAAAAATCCTAAATTCTGGAAAGAAACAACTCTTATTTTCCAAGTGACTTAAAGGTTATTGTTCCTCTTCCAAGAAACCAATATTGTAAACCTTGGAAGATTAATTATGGCATGCATAAAAAGACAACTCATAACACCAGTCATCTGGCATACTCAGAGAAAAGGCCTTGTCTTTACGTCAACACATTGATGAATGACGATTACTTTGTTTGCTTTAAGTTAAAATAATACATTTAAGATATTCTGTGTATCATTTTTATGATTCTCTTCTCTGGTATTTCAAAATTAACCAAGTATCTACTTTTCCCAATTGTAATGGATTAAAAAGAATATTCTAACCTATATAACCTATGTTAAAACTTTTTACGTATTTTGCTTCCAGAAGGTAGCAGTCAGATTGTCTTTCTCTTGTTCACTGCCATGTCCTCAGCATCTAACAGAGTCTGGCACGTGGTATATACACTCAGTGTTTGCTGAATGAATTCACCGTAGTCTCAATAAGTTTCTATGAGCTCTTTTTAGGTGGACTGTTGTTCCAATTGGGCTGAGTTAGTAAGGTAATTTCCATTTTGAGTTGATCATTTTATGTTATTGAAAAGGCAGCATGATGTAATGCAAAGAAGCTAGGTTTTAGAGGCAGACAGATGTAGATGGTAAGCCCAGCTTCAGCACGTAGCAAATGTGGAAACTTTGATATGTAACTTAATCTCTCTAAATTTCAACTTCACAACTTGTACAGTGAGGATAACAACTCCCCCTCAAAGAAGTAAATGACATATGTACAGTGCCTGAATTCAGCAAGTACAGTATTTCTTTTTCCTGTACCATACATGGGTGTGTATGTGTGCATGCATATATGTATTATATGTATATATACTAAAAAGCAAACAATATGTTTCATGTTATAAATTCCAGTTATAATAATGTAAAACTATAGATCAATATGATTAAAATATCAACTTACAACACAAGGTTCTATAAAATGTTGTGAAGCCATAGGTAATATCCAATTATATAAAATACATACTGTTGAGTATATTTCCTTGTTCCTATACAGCCCCTCCCATTTCTCAGTAATTATTTTCTAGAAAACAAACCTCTCCATGGTTGAAAAAGTAGCACAGTACTGTGATTAGACCTCCTACTTGAGTCCCACTGTGAAAAAAAAGTGTACAATCATAATTCATGTAAAATACCGCTTTTTTCACAAAACTATTTCTTAGAATTTAAAATCAGTTTTCTGTATTTAAAAGAGTATTAAACCATATAAAATATTAATAAACTTTTCAAATGTACTCATGTAGTGAATGTTTTACACTGGAATGTGTAAGCATACAAATTGCACATATACAGTAACTCCTATTTTTATATTATTCCTATTTTATAATTTGTTATATGTAAAGTATTTTCTAAAGCGTGAATATAAAATTATTTTCAACAAATATTTCAGCACTTCAGAGTCTATACCACACTCTTGGAATATTTCCGATGGAAGAAAATGTTTGTCTTTTGAAATTGGACTTAAGTGTCTGAGACATGAAGAAAAGACTCCAACAGTGTCATTTAGCAGAAACTTAGAACTTCTAAACTACTGCAAAGATTCTTTTTTTCAGGCCTAAAGAAGCAACAATGTAGAAGATAAAGAATAGCCAAGGATAGCTGATAATCATCAAAGAGAATATCATTTTGTAAAATTGCTCTTTCTTCTGCGTGTCTGTGAACACAGATGCTCAGCCCACATTAATGCAGTTTATATCTCCCTACACACCTCCTTTCATGCCCCACTTCCCTAGTCTACCACATTCTAAGCACTATGAAAATAGCTACTTTATTTGTCTTGTTTATTGCTGCATAGGCAGCTTCACACATGGAGGACAATAAACATTGGTTGAATGAATAAAGGAAAGAAGGAATGAGTAAAAATGAAGGAAAACAAAAGACCACACAGAGAGAGAGAGAGAGAAACAAAAAAACAAGCAGAGGAAAGGCTAATGGAAACTGAAGGATTTACCATTAACAGACTTTCACTAAAGGAAAGTCAAAGGATGCACTTCAAAATGGAAGAAATTGAAAGAAGGAAGGTATGAGAGCAAGAATAAATGGTGAATACAGAAACTGGGAACGTGTGAATAAATCTAAACAAGATTTGACAACATAAAACAGTAACAATGACTTCTAGGAAGGGATAGAAGGAGTAGGTATTAAACAAAAATAAGTAATAATATATAAAATGGGAGAGGCGTTTGGAGTTAAAGAGTTCTGTAATTCTTTGTATTGTTCAGAAAAAGAGGAAAATATCAATTCATTTAAACTTTTATCAAGTTTGATGTGCATGTTAACACTTTATGGTTAACCACTAAAATAATAGAAATGGAATATCTACCTTCCAAGTTAGTGCCAAACATGTGATCAAACATGCAGTCAAGATGCACTGATAACTACTGGTGATTGGAATGTGAAAGTTGGAAACTAAGAAGAAGGAACAGTAGTTGGAAAATACGGCCTTGGTGATAGAAACGATGCCGGAGATTGCATGAGAGAATTTTGCAAGACCAACAACTTCTTCACTGCAAATACCTTTCTTTACTAACCTAAACGGTGACTATACATGTGGCCCTCACCAGATGGAGTACACAGGAATCAAACTGACAACATCTGTGGAAAGAGTTGATGGAGAAGCTCAGTATCATCAGTCAGATCAAGGCTGGGGGCCAACTGTGGAACAGACCATCAACTGTTCATATGCAAGTTTAAGTTGAAGCTGAAGAAAATTAGAATAAGTTCACAAGAGCCAAAGTATGACCATGAGTATATTCCACTGGAATTTAGAGACCATCTCAAGAAAAGATTTGTCCCATTAAACATTAATGACCGAAGACCAGATGAGTTGTGGAATGATATCAAGGACATCATACATGAAGACAGCAACAGGTCATTAAAAAGACAGGAAAGAAAGAAAAGACCAAAATGAATGTCAGAAAAGACTCTGAAAATTGCTCTTGAATGTAGAGTAGCTAAAGCAAAAGGAAGAAATAATGAAGTAAAAGAGTTGAACAGAAGATTTCAAAGGGTGGCGCAAGAAGAAAAAGTAAAGTATTATAATGAAATTGCAAAGACCTGGAGTTAGAAAACCAAAAGGGAAGAACATGTTTGGCATTTCTCAAGATGAAGGAACTGAAGAAAAATTCAAGTCTCCAGTTGCAATATTGAAGGATTCTACAGGGAAAATATTAAACGATGCAGAATTCATTAAAAGAAGATGGAAGGAATATGCAGAGTCATTATACCAAAAAGAATTGCTCAACATTCAGCCTTCTCAGGAGGCAGCATATGATCAAGAACCAATGGTAGTGAAGGAAGAAGTCCAAGCTGCACTGAAGGCATTGGAGATAAACAAGGTTCCAGGAATTGACGGAATATCAATGGAGATGTTTCAACAAATGGATGCAGCTCTGGAGGTGCTCACTCATCTTTGGCAATAAATTTGGAAGAAAGCTACCTGGCCAACCGACTGGAAAAGATCCGTATTTGTGCCCATTCCAAAGAAAGGTGATCCAACAGAATGTGGAAATTACCAAACAATATCATTAATATCAGAAGCAAGTAAAATTTTGCTGAAGATCACTCAAAAGCAGTTGCAGCATCGACAGGGAACTGCCAGAAATTCAAGCTGAATTCAGAAGAGGACATGGTACAAGGAACATCATTGCTGATGTCAGATGGATCTTAGCTGAAAGCAGAGGATACCAGAAAGATGTTTACCTGTGTTTTATTGACTATGCAAAGGCATTTGACTATGTAGATCATAACAAATTATGGATAATACTATGAAGATGAGAATTCCAAAACAATTGTGCTCATGCAGAACCCGTACATAGACCAAGAGGCAGTCATTCAAATAGAACAACGTGATACTGTGTGGTTTAACATCAAGTCACCCCTGAGATAGCCACTGTGCTGATTTTGTGATTATCAATATAATCACCACTATATGGAACCCCGGTGGCACAGCAGTTAAGAACTCAGCTGCTAACAAAAAGATCAGCTGTTCCAATCCACCAGCCACTCCTTGAAAACCCTATGGGGCAGTTCTACTCTGTCCTACAAGGTTGCTATGAGTCGGAATTGACTCAAAGGCAATCGGTTTGTTTGTTTGTTTTATATACATATAAAACAATATCATTTAGTTTCCTGTGTTTTAAACTTTTAGACAAATGGAAGAATGTATTTTTTTTTCTTCCTTTGGTGCCAGGCTTCATTCATTCAACATTATATTTGTAAGATTAGTCCATAGCGATGTGTGTAGCTGTAGTTTGTTCTTTCTCATTGCTGTATAGTATTCCACTATATTAATAAACCATAATGTATTCATGTCTCTATTGATGGATATTTGGGGTTGTTTCCAGTTTGGAGCTATTACCAACAATGTTGCTATAGTCTTGTGCATAATTCCTGGTGTATATACGCAAGAGTTTCTCAGGAATACTATATTTTTATGCATATAACATGTGCCTTCTATGTTTGTTTGCCAACCTCTTCCTTCCCCCGCAAGGTATTTACACAAGCGCATCTATGCCAATTTTTTTTAACATGTTGCTATAAAAAAATTAGCATACAGCACTGATGACAATATCTCACAGCGGGAGGGAGCAGTTGGCAAATGAAAATAGGAGTGTGTTATTTGCATAAAAATACGATATATACTTTAAATTGGAATCCTTGAGTCACACAGTATCTACATCTTCAACTCTTCTAAGTACTGCACATCGTTTTCCAAAATAGTTGTACTAATTTATATAGCCACCTGTGGATGAAAATTCCTTTTGCCAACCTAGAGATGTGAAACGGTACCTCATGATTTACATTTGTATTTTCCTGATAACCAATGATAGTAGGCAACTCTACATATTGCTTATTGGCCATTTGGAGTTCCTCTTCTAGGAAGTGTCTGTTCATAAATATTTTGTGTATTTTTCTATTAAGTTGTCTGTTTTATTAGTCTTTGTAACCCCACTAGAATATAAACTCCATGAGGACAGAGATTGTTTTATATTCCCAACATCTAGAATAGCGCTCCTGATCACAGTAGACATTCAATAAATATCTGTTTAATTAATGAATGTAATTTACTAAAACAAGGGGTGTTACATAAAACAAGGTTTAGTTATATAACTTAATTTCTACATAGACATAAAAAAAAAAAACAACCCATTGCCGCTGCGTCGATTCCAATGCATAGCGACACTACAGAACACAATAGAACTGCCCCATAGGGTTTCCAAGGCTGTAATCTTTACAGAAGAAGACTGCCACATCTTTCTTCCACAGAGCAGCTGATGGGTTCGAACTGCCAACCTTTCAGTTAGCAGCTGAAAGCTTAACCACTGCACCACCAGGGTTCCTTCACATAAACAGAAGCCCTATGAAAAATCAAATATTCTTGAAAGATTAATCTAGATTTTTAACTTTTAATGTTGTACAGTTCAAGAATAACATTGTAAAGAAAACTGATGATTCAGTTAGGAATGTATACATCTGTAACAAACAGAACACCTGAAAAGGTGGCTTAAACTATATGAATGTTATTATCATTCAACAAGAAAAGGAAAGATAAGTGGCTGTTGGCATTGGTTCAGCAGCACAAAGACAAATATATTTGCTATTTTTATGTCCTTTCCTTTATGGTCATAAGATGACCGCTGCAGCTCCAGGCATCATATCCAATTCAAAGCAGTAAAGAACAGAAATGGGCAGCTGAATCTTTTGTGAGAAAAGGAAATGCTTTCCTCCATATAACCCTAGCAGACTTCCTCTTATTTTTCATTGGCTAAAACTAGCTCAAATGGCTATCTGAAGGTGCAATGGAGACTGGGAAAGCAGAACACATGGTTGTCACAATTAACATAATGATTTGAGACTGGGCACACTGACATCACAAACAAAACCGTACTACTTTTATCAAAAAAGACAGGTTGGCAAATGAAAGTGTCTACCACAAATGGTATTTATTTTCTTTTACTGCTTTCTCAATTTCACATTTACAGAGACTAAAATCAGAAATAACCTGCTACTAATGCCAACCAAAGATCTCCTCTAAGGTTTCATCATTTTCCACATGAACTTAAAGTATTTTCATTTAAAACTCTTAAGAAATCTTGATGAGTTAAAAAAATATATATATCACCACAAGGATAAAAGGGAGGTCTTAATTATTATTTTTTATGACCTTAGACTGGCCTTTTGTGTGTGTGTGTGTGTGTGTGTGTGTGTTTGTGTGTGCATGCTTTAGATGGTTTACAGAGCAAATTAGTTTTTCACTAAACAATTAATACACAATAGTGTTTTGTGACATTGGTTGCCAACCCCATGATATGGCAACACTCTCCTCTTCTCGATTTTGGGTTCCCCATTTCCATTTGTCCAGTTTTCCTGTCCGCTCCTACTTTCTCGTCCTTGTCCCTGGGCTGGTGAGCCCATTTAGTCTCTTATACGTGGTTGAGCTACGTGTATTAGTATTTGTTTTATGGGCCTGTCTAATCTTTGCAGAAGGGTGAACCTCAGGAGTGACTTCAGTACTGAGTTAAAAGGGTGTCCAGGGGCCATCCTCTCGAAGTTTCTCCAGTCTCTATCAGGCCAGTAATTCTGGTCTTTTTTTGTGAGTTAGAATTTTGTTCTACATTTTTCTCCAGCTCTGTCTATTGTTAGGTACCATCGAGTCAGTTTCAACTCACAGCAACCTTGTGTACAACAGAAAGAGACACTGCCTGGTCCTGCGCCATCCTCACAATCATTGTTATGCTTAGACCCATTGTTTCAACCACTGTGTCAATCCATCTCCTTCGGGGTCTTCCGCTTTTTCGCTGACCTTCTACTTTACCAAGCATGATGTCCTTCTCTAGGGACTGCTCCTTCCTGAAAAGTCCAAAGTATGTAAGATATAGTCTCACCAGGAGTATTCTGGTTGTACTTCTTCCAAGACAGATTTGTTCATTCTTTTGGCAGTCCATGGTATATTCAATATTCTTCAACAACACTGCAATGCAAAGGCATCAATTCTTCTTCGGTCTTCCTTATTCATCGTCCAGCTTTAGCATGAATATGAGGCTGTTGAAAATACCATGGCTTGGGTCAGGTGCACCTTGGTCTTCAAGGTGACATCTTTGCTTTTCAATACTTTAAAGAGGTCTTTTGCAGCCGATTCGCCCAGTGCAATGCATCATCTGATTTCCTAACTGCTGCTTCCATGAGCATTGATTGTGGATCCAAGTAAAATGAAATCCTTCACAACTTTAATCTTTTCTCCGTTTATCATGATGTTGCTTATTGGTCCAGCTGTGAGGATTTTTGTTTTCTTTATGTTGAGGTGTAATCCATTCTGAAGACTGTGGTCTTTGATATTCATCAGTTAAGTGCTTTAAATCCTCGTCACTTTCAGCAAGCAAGGTTGTATCATTTGCATAACGCAGGTTGTTAATGAGTCTTCCTCCAATCCTGATGCCCCAGTCTTCTTCATACAGTCCAGCTTCTCGGATTATTTCCTCAGCATACAGATTGAATAGGTATGGTGAAAGAATACAACCCTAACACACACCTTTCCTATTTTAAACCACGCAATATCCCCTTGTTCTGTTCAAATGACTGCCTTTTGATCTGTGTACAGGTTCCTCATTAGCACAATTAGGTGTTCTGGAATTCCCATTCTTCACAGTGTTATCCATAATTTGTTATGATCCACACAAAGGCCTTTCAGTAGTCAATAAAACACAGGAAAACATCTTTCTGGTATTCTCTGCTTTCAGCCAGGATCCATCTGATATCAGCAATAATATCCTTTGTTCCACATCCTCTTCTGAATCTGGCTTGAATTTCTAGCAGTTTCCTGTTGATATACTGCTGCAGCCACTTTTGAATGATCTTCAGTAAAATTTTACTTGCATGTGATATTAATGATATTGTTCGATGATTTCCGCCATCGGTTGGATCACCTTTCTTGGGAATAGGCATAAATATAGACTCTTCTAGTCAGTTGGCCAGGTAGCTGTCTTGCAAATTTCTTGGCACAGATGAGTGAGCACCTTCAGTGCTGCATCGGTTTGTTGAAACATCTCAATTGGTATTCCATCAATTCCTGGAGCCTTGTTTTTCTGCCAGTGCCTTCAGTGCAGCTTGGACTTCTTCCTTCAGTACCATTGGTTCCTAACCATATGTTACCTCCTGAAATGGCTGAACATCGACAAGTTCTTTTTGGTATAGTGACTCTGTGTATTCCTTCCATCTTCTTTTGATGCTTCCTTCATTGTTTAATATTTTCTCCGTAGAAACCTTCAATATTGCAACTCAAGGCTTGAATTTTTTTCTTCAGCTCTGTCTGGGACCCTCTATTGTGATCCCTGTCAGAGCAGTTGGTGGTTGTAGCAAGGTACCATCTAGTTGTGCTGGACTCAGTCTGATGGAGGCTGTAGTTTTGGTCCATCAGTCCTTTGGACTTATCTTTCCCTTGTGTCTTTGGTTTTCTTCATTTTCTCTTGCTCCAGACGGGGTGGGACCAGTGGAGTATCTTAGATGGCTGCTTATAAGCTTTCGAGATCCCAGATGCTACTCATCAAAGTAGGATGTAGAACATTTTCTTTATAAACTATGTTATGCCAACTGAGCTAGATGTCCCCTGAGACCACGGTCCCCAGCCCTCAGCCCAGTAATTCAGTCCCTCAGGGAGTCTGATGTGTCTGTGAAGCTTCTAAGACCTTGCCTTGTTCAAGTTGCAGTGACTGCCCCAATACTGTGTACTCTTACCCTTTATCAAAGTTACCACTTACCTATTGCTTAGTTAGTGTTTTTCCCTCCTCTCCCCTCCCCTCCCTCGTAACCATCAAAGATTGTTTCTTTTTGTGTGTAAATCTTTTCATGAGTTTTACAATAGAGGTCTCATACAATATTTGTCCTTTTGTGATTGACTTATTACACTCAGTGTAATGCTCTCCACATTCATCCGTATTGTGAGATGTTTCACAGATTCATCATTGTTCTTTATTGTTCCGTGGTATTCCGTTATGTGTATATACCATAGTTTGTTTATCCATTCATCTGTTGACAGGCATTTAGGTTGTTTCCATCTTTTTGCTATTGTGAATAATGCTGCAATGATCATGGGTGTGTATATGTATATTTGTGTGATGGCTCTTATTTCTCTAGGATATATTCCAAGGAGTGGGACTGCTAGGTCATATGGTATTTCTATTTCCAGTTTTTTAAGGAATTGCCATGTCATATTCCAAAATAGTTGTCAAGATAATTATTTTAGTGACATCTTTAGTTTCAGGTTACAGGATATCAGCTAAGCTTCTGAAAAATAAAGTAAATCGACAAACTCTGCTACTATAAATTAATTAATCTGATTAATTATGCTCCTCACTTCATATGCAAATGTAAACTAGTCCTTATAATCTCACTAAAAGATCTTTTAATACAGTACTTACCTCAGGTATGTACCATATATGAAGAACAATCCCATCATTACTCCATTTAAAATAAAAATCACACCAACATAAAAGCAAGCAGGGTCTCCCAATCCTTTGAAAAGACACAGATGAATTAGTATTTAGTGAATAAATGACTATAATGCAATTGGGTGTGATTTTCTCAGTACCTTATACAAGAGCTCATGAATCTCCTAAAAGTATTTGTTTTTCAGTTTGCTGCTCTCTTTAATAATTACATTTATACTTTCTCCTTATATGAGGTATTAGTATAATATAATGATTTATTGGGCCTTCACATTTATTTAGGGGATGCTTCTGTTATTCTGTATTTGGAAACTTCTGTAGAGCCACTTTATGAATTCAAGGAGAACCCATCGCATTATTTTTATCTTTTGCTAGGCTCTAGAATGAGTAACATATGATCTTTACCTCAAGAAGCAGCTTTAGTGTATATGAGATGATCCAGTTATCTGATCCATTATTACTATGTATAGCTGGGAAATTAATATAGTATGTGTGTGTAGCACTTACTGGGTGCTTAACAATCATTACCTCACATAATTCTCAAACAAATTTGTGAGATTAGAATGGTTGAGAAAACGGAACATAAAAAGCTTAAGTAACTTGCCATCAGTTGTTTAGCTATAGCAGGGAAGCCACGACCTGAAGACCGGCTTTTCTGACTCCTATTTCTCTGACCACTCCTTTCCAGTCTGTTTTAGTAAGTTCTCTTCCTTTATGCACCCTTTCAATGTTGGACCACGTTAAACCAAACCAAAGCAAACCAAACCCGTTGCTGTCGAGTCAATTCCAACTCATAGCGACCCTATAGGACAGAGTAGAACTGCCCCATAGGGCTTCCAAGGAGCAGCTGGTAGATTCGAACTGCCAGCCTTTTAGTTAGCAGCCAAGCTCTTAACCACTGCGCCACCAGGGCTCCTGAACCACCTTACACTCTGCCATAAGCCCTCTTCCTTCCTCATGCTGCATATTTTTCTTAAGGAAATTCTTCCACTTCCATGGCTCCAATGATCATCTGTATACAGATGACACCAAGTGTATATTCAGCCCAGATCTTTCTTCTTGTCCCTATACTTATATGGAGCCCTGGTGGTACAGTGGTTAAGCATTCAGCTGCTAACCAAAAGGTCAGCAGTTCAAATCCACCAGCAGCTCCTTGGAAACCCTATGTGGCAGTTCTACTCTGAACTACAGGGTAGCTATGAGTCGGAATCGACTCTATGGCAACGGGATTGGTTTTTTTGTTTTTTTATACTTAAATACCCAGGTAGCCACTTGACAGCTTCACTTTGAGGTCTCATAGGTGCCTTAAACAAATACATCCAAAATGAAATGTAGCAATTTGACTTTAATCCTTTTCAAATGTTTCCTACCACTTAAAGGTAACAAATTACTTAAGCCAGAAACCAAGCAGTATTACATGACTTTTTAATCTCCCTTGCTTCTCCCATTAAACAATTACCAAGTCTTGTAAATTCTACCTGCAAAATACCTCTCAAATCCATGTATTTCCCTATCATCATCTGCAGAGAGTATAATACCTTCCTACCCAGCCTCTCTGAATCCATTTTTGCCCTCTACAACTGCCAAAATCATATTAAAATGCAAACCTGTTAAAATTCTTTGATGCATAAAGTAAAAAGTCCTTAACCACTGTACAGCGCATCATGATCTGGCCCTGCTTACATCCCCAGCATCATTTCATACCATTTTTCTTCTCTATTCCTCTGCTCCAAGAATTCTAGCCTTCTTCATTTCCCTCCTGCCTAATATGTTGGTCCCTATTCTTTTTTTTTTTTTTTTTAATATTTTATTGTACTTCAGGTGAAGGCTTACAGAACAGATAGTTTCTCATGTAACAGTAACACACATGCTGTTTTATGACATTGGTTAACAACCCCACAACATTTTAACCCTCTAAATTCTCAACTTTTTTTTTGTGTGTGTGTGTGAAAATACACATAGCCAAAGATACGCCATTTCAAAAATTTTTTTTACATACACATTTAAGTGACATTGACTACGCTCTTCTAATTGTGCTGTTATTCTCACTTAAGATGAAGGCTTACAGGACAAAATAGTCTCCCATTTAACAGTTACTACAAATGTTGCCCTATGACAATGGTTAACAATCTCACAACACATCAACAATATCCTTACTCTACTTTGTGTTCCCTATCATCAGCTTCCTACTCCCCTTCTGCCTTCTGGGCCTTGTCACTGGACTCCTGTACCTCGTTACTCTCATGGTTTCACTGGGCTGTCCACTCGCAGGCTGATCAGTGAACCTCGAAGGTAACTTTACCACTGAGCTAAAAGGGTGTCTGGGGGCCATACACTCGGGGTTTCTCCAGTCTCCTTTAGGCCAGTAAATCTGATCTTTTTTTTTTTTTTGTGAGTTAGAATTATGCTCTACATCCTTCTCCAGCTCTGTCCAGAATCCTCTGTTGTGATCCTGGTCAGAGCAGTCAGCGGTGGTAGCCGGGCACCATCTAGCTGTACTGGACTCAGTCCGGTGAAGGTCTTGGTAGCTGTGGACAATTAGTCCTTTGGACTAATCTTTTCGTTGTATCCTGTTCTCTTCATTCTCACTTGCTCCCGAAGAGAAGAGACCAGTGGAGTATCTTAGATGGCCGCTCACAGGCTTTTAAGACCCCAGACACTACTCACCAAGGTAGAATGTAGAGCATTATCTTTATAAGTAGTGTCATGCCGATTGAGCTAGATGTTCCCCGAGACCATGGTCCCCAGAGCCCTCCGTCCAGCAACTCAGTCCCTCGGGGAGTTTGGATGTGTCCAGGGGGCCTCCATGACCTTTCCTTGTACAGGTTGTGTTAGTTTCCCCTGTATTGTGTACTGTCTCACCCTTCACCCAAGATACCACTTGTCTATTGCCTATTTAATATTCCCCCCCCACCCCTCCCATCCCTGGTAACCAACAAGAATTGTTACATTTTGCGTGTGAACTTTTTCATTGGTTTTTACAATAGAGGTCTCATACAATATTTGTCCTTTTGTGATTGACTTATTTCACTCAGCATAATGTCCTCCAGTTTCATCCATGTTATGAGATGGTTCACTGATTCATTATTGTTCTTTCTCGTTGCATAGTACTCCATTGTGTGTATGTACCATAGTTTGTTTATCCATTCATCTGTTGATGGGCACCTACGTTGTTTCCATTGTTTTGCTATTGTGAACAATGCTGCCATGAACATAGGTGTGCATATGTCTATTCGAGTGTGGTCCCTATTCTTGAAACACTTCTCATTCCTTACTCCTACCCTCCAAAACCCGTTGCCACTGAATCGATTCTGATTCATAGCGACTCCTACCCTCAGCAACCTGTATTTTCTTATCTGTAATATCCATCACAGTTGTAACTGCTACAATCCCGCTTAAAGTATAAATTCTATGACAGTAAGGCTTCATGTCTACCTGGTTCATTTCTGGTTCATAGTCCAAAAAATTTAAAAAACCCAAATGCTAAACACTAACCTATTACTTAGTGGAGACTTAAAAATCACCATATGTAGCCATATAACGATTTTTTTCTCTTCCTCATAAAGGTTATAGGTTCTAGCTAAGTCCTTGAAGAGTCTCTTTATTTTATGAGGCATTTTCTGAATTGCTTCATTTTGTAAATAAAGTAAAATTGCCCCTCTAATAACCCTTTTCAGTACTATTACTGATATAATAAAGGTCACCTGAGGGAATCAGTAAAAAGTAAAGGAAATATAGATTCAGTATATATTCCAAATGTTGAAAGTTATTGCAAATAAGTTTATAAAATACAGTAAGTAGTTAGGTTGTGGAGGCCATAGAGAGATAAAGAAAAAACAACTGTGTAAATGTTATGCAAATAGATATATGTGGTTCGGAATAAGAGTTTCAAGGGACAACATTATATTTGGATTCAGAAAGTGCTAGACTGCAAACATCTTAAACAGAAGTGACTACTAAGTATCCCGGAAAACTGCTAGATGATTCCAAAAGTAGTTCTTTTACCAAGACACCAATGTAGAAGACACATATGAAGAGTTTGGTTAAAACTGTTTATGGATTTTCAAAGTATAAAAAAGCAATATTTATAAATCCATCTATTATTTTATATCTTATTTTAAAATACGTATGCAAAACTAAATTAATACATTGAGTATTACCAGTAGATATTAGCCTGTTTACTCTATATTCCAAAAATTTATATACCCAAACTACTTCCTCCAATTTTTTTGGAATTATATCATTCTGAAAATGAAAGAATGACTTATATTGAGGATTGCTTTACACTGAGGTACAGTAATACTCACATGAAATTCCAATTTAATATCCCAATTAGTAAGTGCATAGCCTTCTCAGAAAACTACTTTAAAAGGTAAAACTCTCATTTAAGTAAGTTAGTTTTAGGGTGTTTTAGAGAAAAAAAAATCAACCACAGTAGTTTACAGTAATTCTTAAAATGAGTAATAACATTATAAAATGTTTATGAAAACATGAGAATATAGTAGCATTTTAGGAAGAAACATGCCTTCACAGCTTTGAACTTCATTAAGAGGTTGTACTCTGGTGACATTCCAGCAGGTCTTAGTTTCTAGCCCAAATAAATTCATTATTCCCACGAATGTTCGATAGCAGCTAGCAATGATTACCTATAAAAGATAAAAACAAAAAAAAAAAAAAAAGATAAAAACAAAAAGAGATAACAGAGCAAAATTTATTTTATTCATAATAATTTTTTTTTCAAAATGGCACATTATGATGGTTGCCTTTGATATTATAAATTTTCAGAATTTTATTTCAATCATTTCACTTAGGAAATATTTTAAAATGTCATGTATATAATATATTATAAACTAAAGTTGTATACTATTGAGTAATTCACATCTATAATAATAGATATTGTAATCAACATGATTGTAATATACTCTTGTAATTAACTCTGTAATAGAAATAGTAATAGCTGTAAAATCATGTATAAAAGTATATAATTAAAAATGGGGGGGGTGGGGCCAATATGGCAGAGTAGTTGGACGCTTCTGGTGGACCCTCTTACAACAAAGACCCGAAAAAACAAGTGATTGGATTATATATGGCAATCTGGGAGCCCTGAACATCAAAGGCAGAGTTGAGGAACCAGATGGAGTGGCAGGGGGAGGGAGAGACAGTTTGGAAGCAGCAAAGAGTTGTCAGACCCCACCCAGTGAGACCCTGAGCCCTTCAGGCCTGATCAGCTCAGGAGTGAGCGGTGAAGCAGGCAAGCAGCCGTGCTCAGGAGGCGCGTTTTCTGCACTGGGAGAGTCCCAGCGCCGGAGAGACCCAGTGCCATAGAGTCTACATGGCCACCCAGAACCAGTGAGAAGCAGCCCTCGATCCGGCGAAAGATAAGTAATTGTATACGGCTTACTGTGCGGATCAAAAACATCCCCCTTAGGGAAAAACCTCTCTCCCATTTACCTCCCTGCTCCCTGCTCTGCACTAGGTCCCTGACCAGCTTCAGCAATTGCCAAGTCCCCTGGGCTGGAAGTAGGATCCGTCACATGCCCGGAGCCATTCTCCCTGCCTTGGAGAGTGAATAAATTAACAAATGGGGAAAAAATAAACTGCCGGCTCCCCTAAGCCAGGAACCCAGGGTAGGCACAGCTTCTTTGCCAAAGCACAGACATAAGGGATCCACGGACTTTGAGTGCCTTTCCCCCGGCAGAGACTTGTGTGGGCCCATCTCAACAGCGTAGGCCCTCTTATCGCAGTACAACAAGGTATATACTGGAACTCTAACTTCAACTGTTTCAGTTGTGAAGTGGCAGGCTCTTGACATTTGACACTGCTTAGCCCATTCAGCAGGGTCTTCGCCTACTCACATCAGGGGCCTGAGGACTGGTGGCTCCACCCCACGCCACCTAGCCACCTGCTATAGGGGCCCCTTAATAAGAGGTGCCCCCTAGTCCTAACAGCCAACAGCATTAGGTGCTCATAGTCTGGATGCAAAACCCACCCACCTACGCACTCTAGGGAACAGGGACATGCTCTCCTCCTGGACACTCAGGGGCGGCCGTCAGCCCCCTGCCTTGCTCAGAGTGTGTCCCCCTGCTGGAGCCAGATGCTTGTGCCGAAACCAAACACCCATGCCTGTCTAGAACTGTAAGTGAGAGCCTACACCACACACTTGGTTGCTATCTACCTGGGCACCTGAGCTGAATCCATATAGTAAGAGTTGGTGGACTCCTGAGTTCACATACCTAGTAATAGATCTAACCACCTGGTGACAGGGCATTAGAGCTTCAAAGGTGCCAAGAATCAAACTAGCTCATACGAGCAGCCTATTTGGGCATATCAAAACAAAACAAGAAGCTAGGACACAGTAAGCAAACATAAAATAAATAAATATAATAAATTATTGATGGCTTGGAGACAACAGTCAATATCAAATCACATACAGAGGCAATCCATGATGGCTTTAGCAAGCTCCCAAAATAAAGAATCTAGAAATTCTCCAAAGGAGGAAAATTTCTTGGAATTACCGGAGGCAGAATACAAAGATTAATATACAGAACTCGTCAAGAAATTAGGAAAGAGATTAAGCAAAACGCAGAATACGCAATAGAGGAAATTAAAAATATTAGAGAAGAGCATAATGATAAATTTAACAGGCTGCAAGAATCCATAGAGAGACAGCAATCAGAAATCCAGAAGATTAACAATAAAATCTCAGAATTAGACAACACAATAGAAAGCCATAGGAGCAGAATTGAGGCAACGGAAGTCAGAATTAGTGAGATTGAAGATAAAGCACTTGACACCAACATATTTGAGGAAAACTCAGATAAAAGGATTAAAAAAATAAAGAAACCCTAAAAATTATGTGGGAATCTATCAAGAGGAATAACCTACAAGTGATTGGAGTACCAGAACAGGGAGGGATTACAGGAAATACAGAGAGAATTGTTGAAGATTTGTTGGCAGAAAACTTCCCTGATATCATGAAAGATGAGAAGATATCTATCCAAGATGCTCATCAAACCTCACATAAGGTAGATCCCAAAAGAAAGTCACCAAGACATACTATAATCAAACTTGCCAAAACCAAAGATAAAGAGGGAATTTTAAGAGTGGCTAGTGATAAACAAAAAGTCAT